GGCGTCTGTGGCTCTGGCCGGGCTGCCCTGGAGGGGAGGATGGCAAGGGGACAGAGAGCGGAACAGCGGGCTGCCCGGGGCTGAACTCAGGCTCTGAGCCTTTGTGTATGACATAGCGGGAGAGCCAGGCATTACACCCTGAAGGAGAGAGGGTGAGGAGGGACAGCCCTGCACAGGGAGGAGGGGGGGCACTGCTGCAGGCGATCCGAAGCTGCTTCCTCTGGTCATCATGTGGCTGGACAAACTGACAATAACAAAAAGTGTAACAAAATGCAAAATAAACGTTGTTGAATGTTATTCAAAATGTAAGGAAGGGCTGAAGTCTCTGTACCTCTTGTGATCTGAAAAGCCCAGCATGGCCAGGTCCTGCAGGTTCTGGAGACTGTGTGTGGCAGCAGCTGGTTCAGGCGGCGGGGGCACCACTGGACCTGAACATGATGTAACACTCCCAAAGAAATCCACACCTGAAGCCGGAGCCTGCAGAGGAGAAAGAGGGGACAAGATGATTCATCTTCTCCCGTTGCACACCAACAGAAAGAATATAGTTCTATATGTACCTGCAGGGAAGTCCACTGATTGGACAGCTCGTTCAACGTAGGCTTTGCCTGGCTGCTGGTAGAGGTAGGGGGGTCGTTCAGTCCTAAAAGAAGGTACAGATATTTAGAGTGTAAGAAGAGAGACAAATCTTTTGGACCTGAAAGTTCTGGCAGCAGCTGGCTTACCAGTTAGCTTAGCCTAACTCTGCCTGATGTTATCAAATCAACCTACCAGCAAATAAAATGTCACTTTAAAGCACTTTAAGTTCATTTGCTCAATCCATGTCTTACAACAGAGCTTAAAACATTTTACAGGGCATTATAATGCAGACTATTTCTTGTCTGGGCGTAGTTCTAAAAATGCCAAACAGTTCCTTGGACCGGTTGAGTCATGAAAGGGATGTTCTACCTAAAGACAGCAGCTCATCATCCAGCAGAGACAGAGCAGTGAAGGCCTTGTCGAGCGGCGGGTGGCTCGGGCTGTTGTTCTGGCTGCCGATGGAGCCGAGCAGGTGTTTGGGAGGAGGGGGGAGGACCGGGATGGGGAAGTCTGTGAGATTGATGGAGATGGGGATGGGGATGGGGATTGGGAAAGAGGGAGGAGGGACAGGTTGGGGAGGGCTCGGAGTGTCGAGGCCGGCAAGGTCGATCAGCGTATCTGTGGTGTCTGAGAGGAAATAACAGCGGCTAAACTATTTATTTGATCTCAAGCATTATAAGGAATCTCATTTTAGAGAAACATTCAACAACATCTCTCACCACTTTCACTCTGACCAGCTGTAGACGGAGGCTCTTCCCTGTCACCATTGATTGGCTGCCCTTCCACTATCTTCTTGTAAGAGTTGATGACTCTGGAGAGATCATCACTGGCCTGCAGGATGTCACCTGAAGGGGGCGACAGGATGGGGGGGGTTACAACTTACTCACAATAAAACCTTTTTTCGAGACATTGCTTGTTAGAATGAAGACAACACAAAACTATCAAACCTAAATTGGCGTCATTGTCCTCGGACTCTGTGGCCATTTTGAAAGCAGAACGCCTCAGCTTGTCACAGCGCTCGTAGAGTTCCTGAGAGGAAGAAAAGAGGAGGTGCTGATTAAAATTCATGTACCTATCAACTTCAAATGATGACATTGTACAGTATTAATAAACTATCTACTGTAACCACAAGGAGGACTCATTATTTACAGTTTGATTCAGACAAAATAAATGTTTGAATATATAAAAAGTCCACCATTTTCTCCTTGTCTCCTTTGAGTGGGGACTAAATCTGGACAGCAAATGAGAAGATTCACATCCACGTTTAGGGACTTTGTAGGTCAGAGCTGATTCAAGTTTCTGAGAGAGAGAGAGAGAGAGAGAGTGTGTGTGTGTGTGTGTGTGTGAGACTGCAAGAAAACCCACCTTAATGATCTCCCTGTCTGATTCTGTGGAGCTGTCTTTATTGTAGTGGGTCAGCATCTCCGTCAGCAGCTTCACGTTGATGTTCACCTCCTCCAGTGTGTGTATTCGCTTTGTTACCTTCTGCACTCGAGCCTCATCCTGAAAAAAACAAAAAACGACCAAACTGACAACACGTTTCATGCTAAACATCAAAATGTTCATGTGAGGCATTCAAAGTACTGTACAGCAGAAAATCTTAGCCAATAACACACGAGTTATACATTTTAAATAAACCTCAACGTTACCTCTTTCACCATGTTCTTGATTAATCTGTTGGCTTCCTGGAGATCCTCTGGATTTTTACTTCGCAGGAGCTCAGCAAGCAGCTAATTACACACACACACACACACACACACACACACACACACACACACACACACACACACACACACACACACACACACACACACACACACACACACACACACACACACACACACACACACACACACACACACACACACACACACACACACACACACACACACACACACACACACACACACACACACACACACACAGGAACTCTTTAAACATCCGTTTTTCTCTGTGATTGCAGATGGGTTCAACAGGAATAATAAATATTAACACGTTTCCCCTTGAACAAATAATTCAGCTTCTCTTTTTGTCATGCTGGCCTTCACTTTTTGGATTAATGTATCTCAAACTCTGTTAAAAACTGAAGAATTCTATCAGTCCCTTTTCAAATATGTCCACCATTTGCTGGTTCAAGCTTCTAAATTGAGAGTTTTTTGTTTTCTCGATCGTTAGCTGGAATAAAATAAACATTTTTAGACATCACTTTTAGCTCTGGGGAAAAGTCACATCAATTAAATCCATAGATTCAGAGTGACTTTTCCCGCTCCTCTCTCACCTTGCCCATGTCCTCGTTGTCAAACACCGGGTGTCTGGGTCGGGTTGGAGGAGAAGGAATCAGCGTCCTGTCCAGCGGTAACTCGGGGTCCGTCGTAACGAGGCCTGATGAAGAGAGTGAGGACTGAATTATTACTTTGATGAAAGTCGTTTTTTTTTTTTTTTTCACGTGCATATGTCTGATCATCTCAACACACCCTGCCTCCTCAGCGTCTGGTAGGCTTCACCGATCTTTACTTCGTTTGGAAAAGCAACAGTCCAGCTGTACAACATCTCCACGATCTTCAACTTCACCTTCTCAGGTGCGCTGTCGCCCATGTACTGGAAACAGGAGGTGGTTAAACAGAGGCTGTGCAGCAGGATATAGAATGTGTGTCATAAATGATACCGCACACTGCTCACCTTTGGAGACACAACTTTGATCAGCTCGTTCAAAAACCTGTATTTCCCGACTTCGTTATGAAACCTTCTCCCGCAGTTCTTCATGCACGCCTCCAACACCTGCACACAAAACCATGACGATGAATCCAAAGTGTTTGCTTCAGTAGATGAGAAGAAGCTTCCTGTCTGAGAATGTCTTACTGTCAGAGCCTGCAGGGCTTCCCATTCCTGCGGGGAGTGGATTTTATGGACGAGCAGAGGGACAGCTATCTGAGGACTGCAGGAGGAGGAAGAAAATCCACACTGAGGAGCTTTTTCTGACACGTTGTGAAGAATATTTGAATATATTTCACCAACTCACCCTTCCAGTTCCTTGTTGATCTGATCACAGAAGCCTATGATGTACTCCCAATCCTCCTGTCGGTTTGTTGGATGGGTGGCTTTATCTGCAGGAGACAAACATTCACATTCAATGTGGTAGCTGTGCAAAGCAGAAGAGAGCGGGGCGCTTGTTTTTAATGTAGTTACACAAAACTCTTCAGAATGCTTATACGGTGGTATCAATCAAGTATCTATTTATCTATAAATGATCTATTAATCTCTTATTGGACGTTCACCATCAAATATAACATCTCTGCTGATCTGGACCCGACCAAACTCTGCTCTACTGACCGTCTGTCGCTTTAAGTCCCGCAGTAAAATGAGCTTTTCCGCTTACAACACACTCTCAAGATGGACACTCTAGTTTCTCTGAGACAAGTTAAGACAATGATGTCAAAACACTTCACCACAGTGTGTGTTTGTACTGAGAATCATCCTCTCTCTGCTGAAATGAAATGAAATCTATAGTGTTTAATTTTCACTGGAATCACACCAAAGTGTTTAATTCTGGTACAGTGACATCCTACACATGTAGGAGGAAATACTCTGGATATAAATATTTTTACTCATAACAAAAACAAAGTTAATGAGTATGAAAAACCCTGTTTTTTATATTTGGCATGTAGAGATGGATGTCACAGACCAGGTTCATGCTGACTTTCATTCTTCGATCTTGTTTCTGATTTGCTGTTATCTAAGACAATTGTCCCTTGTTTCAATTCCCCTACATGTTAATGCTGCACACACATCCTGTGGTAAATATGGCTCCCATTGTGTCTAAACAATACAGTTCTTGTTATCCCTCTTCCTCTTTGTATTAGCAGTGCTGCTCTGTCATCACTCACAATGTGTCCAATAAGCTCCACAGACGGTCAACATCACACACAGCTGTCAGAGGTGAATATGATCCACACACTAAAGTGTTTTAAAGCTCTCCACCCACCCTGCTAATGATGCAGACAGTGGGGCTGTCACTCAGGACCCTCTGTTAGCTGTAAATCACTTTAAAAGCGCGTTGACAGCGTCGGTACCGACAGATTTACCGCCTGCCGCCCTGAGAAAAAGCACCTAGCTAATTTACCATGTTATTTAATTCATAAAACGGGATTAAAATCACTCACTGAGCCAGGATTCAAGCGACTCCCCTTCCTGGTACGCCATAGCACATCAAACATCGCGTGATGTCAGCAGCGTAAACGCGAGAGTACAGAATTATGATTCAGAAAATAAAAAAATAAAAAAGATTTTTACCATTCTGAAAAAAATATATTTTAGCATTAGTATTTTTTAAATCAAAATGTTTAAGATAAACAGCCGATTTTTTTTTTTATGTAAAAAAAAATAAAATAAATGAAGGCATCTCCGGGAGATACTAATCTGGGGTCCTCACTGACGCTCACATTTCCAAGATGGCCGCCTCCATCTCAGGATTACTGAAACCTTGGACACCAAGGTAACTATCATTTTATACAGCCTCCAATAATGAATCAGTGGTGTTACTGTGTATTTGATATTAATGTAACAATGGCGAACTTTAGAGCACTTTTAACATCGAAACAATAAAGAAAGGACGAAGTCCGGAAGTAAACTATCTCCGGTGCTAAACATGAACCAACATGAAATTAACGGAAGGCTTTAATAACCTTTTTATCCTTATTAATCCACTTATATCTAAATATATAACTTTCAATTCATTCTTAGGCTTCTCTCATTTGTTACTTAATATTTAAAATGTATTAGATTAGGACATATTCCAACCACACGATGACAGTGAACAGTGCAAAACAGTTTTTAAGATATTCATCACAGATGTTTTTCTTTTTATTCATCTTTTTATTTTAATAAATGCCCCCCAAAAAAACAACAAAAAAACTACAAACAAATTAAAAGTAATACATAAATAAAAAAGATAATTGTATTAATCCAAAAATCCAACTTCCAATCTTTTTCGAGTTTTTATTCATTTAAATATAAATTTAAACTATAAACTTTTTAACTATAAACATTCTTCTAAATTTCACGAGATTATTTATATTTTTTTTAACCTAGTGTGAAATTGGTGAAAATACCGAAGCTTGTCTTAAAATCTTTAAATGTCGTTATAAAATAAAGGATCTGGGGAGAATAAAAATGTTCCTACACTTTTCCTGATTGACTAATTAATTTAAATTAATTCAATTGTTACTGATCAACTAAATATTACTACATTGTGATTGTATCTGTCGGTCAGACACTTGCTTTATTTGAAATGGATCTGCCTTCCTCACACAGATCTTTCACACTCAGCTCTCTGATGAAGTACGGTTGTCAAAATGTCCAGTACTTCAATAGTTTTGAACACGATATAGTCTGTTATTTTAATCATCGATAGAATCAAAAAGCTTTTTTTTTTTTTAAAAAGGACAGCGGTTCATAAAACAGTTGCAAAGGACAGGTATGAGTCCAAAAACTACATGAAATGAATAAGTTTGCTTACAAATATTTCTCAATAACAACAAGGATTTAGTCAGTATTGCGGGCCTAGGACTTGTTTTGTTGTTGCTGGGGTATGGAAACAGGTTTTGATATCATTTGATTTTTACTAGAATCATTTCAAAGTTTATATTCTTGTTATATAACTCTACTCTGCTGTGCATTTTCTCTTCAGAGTGTTCCTGGTGAGATGGAGCAGATACAACCCGTACTATCTGGAGCCAGAGGTCAGGAAGGAGGTGTACAACAGGCCGGAGGCCGAGCTGAGCGCCCAAGAGAAGGAGCAGCGGGAGCTCAAAGCGCTCAGACCCATCAAGGCAGCAACCAGTGGAGTCACCAGCTCTGTCTTCAACGACCCAGTCCTCAGGTAGAACCATATCAGATCACTACACGAGAGAGCGTCACTTTTCAGTCACAGCTACATGCCTCAGGGTGTTTGACTTTTTGTTCTTCTTTGCAGTAAATTCATCAACATGATTATGAAACATGGAAACAAGGTTATGGCCAGAGAGATCTTGACAGATGTAAGAAAAAAAAAACTGTTTTCAGGGAAGTTTGAGTTAAGTTTAAAGATTTAACCTTTTAGGAATATCAATTCCTTCAATTTGTCCTGTGTCTTCTAGACTCTGGAGCAAATCAAGAGGAAACAGGTGGAGAAATACAACAAAGCTCCGGCGGGGAAGAAGGACGAGATCGAGTGTAACCCGTATGTCATTTTCCACCAAGCTCTCAACAACTGTAAGCCCATCGTCGGGCTGGTTAGCATTCAGAAAGGTGGAAAGTATTACCAGGTCAGTGAAGAAGCAGATCGGTACATTTCTGTGGCAGCAAACATAAAAACATGAAGTCTAATTACCGTCTGTGTTGTTGCAGGTGCCCATCCCTCTTTCGGAAAACAGACAGCGCTTCCTCGCCATGAAATGGATGATCTCGGAGTGCAGGGAGAACAGGCACAGACGCACACACATGTATGAGAAACTCTCCCAGGAACTGTTGGCAGCCTCTGCGAAGGAGGGCAACGTTATCAAGAAGAAGTTTGAGATGCACAAGATGGCCGAAGCCAACAGAGCCTACGCTCACTACCGCTGGTGGTAGAAAGACGCTCTGGACGCAGAGGGTCGAGGGGCGACTCAGTGACACGTTTGTAAATAGTGAACAGTGTGAAGGTGTTCTGCAGGAAGGACTGAGCTGTGGGACAACAGTGGATTATAAACGGCTCACAGGGATGGACTTTTTTTCTTTTGATAAACGATGTAGTGAAGCATCACAGCATTTTTTCATTTCAACAAAATAAAACACATAAAAACTGAATAAAGGAAAAACTTTCAAAATTTATTTGAACAAATACAGTCGCATCTGAAGTAAAACCCAACCATAAAAAAAATGGAATTGAGTAATGTAAAAATGTTGCAACAAGTTAATAAAAAATATAAACACATATTGCAGTCAGCTCTGTGCCCTGTAGGGAAAATTAGTATCGACAGCATCCAAACGTAGTCCTTCACACGTCGTCCTCGTTAGGATCTGTTTCATACAGCGTAAAGCGACTCTGCCTCGGAGGTGGAGTACAACATTTCTTAAATCCTGAACACGGCTGGGCTTTGATTGAAACTATTCTGATTTCCAACATTTGTCATTTTTCCTCTGAATCACTCCGAGGTTGATTTGTCTGACTGCCAATTTTATATAAAGCATATTTACATTCAACAGACGCGAGCTTTCATTAAACACATTTCAGTCGTAGCATTTCGTCAGTCTGATTCTGTGGCAGCTTAAGAGCTTAAAGCTGGATCAGATATTAACATCTATGGGCTACATGGGGACGTGAGTGCTGGTGAAATGGAAATACGCCATCCTCCAGTGATCGTGGGAGTAACAAATCAGACATGTCTGCTGCTCTTGTTAAAGAAGAGAACTGTCAGTCTGACTTATAAATCAGCGGAAATGCAGTTTTACGTTCAACTTCCGATCTCTGCAACAAAATCTATGAAAAAAAAAAAAAAAAAAGCTCCCTGACCTCGGGACAAAATGCTTCATCTGACTAAACCAGCAACGCAGGAATCCAACTGGAAAACTACTGAGTATTTCAAAGCCTTTGTAAAATGTTAATACTAGTCTAAAATATTCAACAAAAGAAGTCAAATCGTGATTTGGAATTAAATTAAAAAGTTGGTCACACAACAATAAAAGTAAAGCAAAGACCAAATCAGCTCGTATCCGACTGGAATGTCTGCTCCAAGCCCGTCGGATCTGGTTTAAAACTAAGTCAGACTTTGAAATCTTTTCTCACAAAATAAGGAATGCCTGCGAGATAATTAAAACATAATAGAAAGATCTTCAGCTTCTTTAGCTGTCAGCAAACATTAAAACAAAGTATACCTGAATGTAACTAAACCTCGTAAACATAACTTAACTCTGGGTGAACTATTGCACATATTCCACATCCACGGCACCGTGTCTCAGAACTTATTGAACGCAGGGAATACTCCAGCAGTCTTTGACCAGTTTTGAACAACCAGCTCCACAGAACCCTTCACTGATTTATCTGGAGGATGTCCATCTTAGAATTGCTGGTTTTATAATCAGGAGAGGAGGTATCCAAGGTGCTCAAGGGTTGGCTAACGCACCTGCCAAACAGCCACTCGGCACATCCTAGTCTGCGATTTCGCTGTAGTAGTACTTGTGGGCGGTGCTGCTGAGCAGCCAGCCTCCGGCCCTGAACTCCAGGATCTCGAGCAGCAGCAGGCGGGCCATGGAGGTGAGTCCCTCTTGAAGCAGGAAGCCGTCTCGCAGCAGGAAGAACAGCTCGTCCATGCGCGGGGCGTTCATCTTCTCCAGCTGCTCTCCGATGCGATGCAGCTGCAACACAAGGCAGTCCACCTGCGGAGGCCGAGGACATGTCAGTGTCTCAAAGAAAACTAATTATTATTATATTAAAGACGTGTGAGAAGTTGAATGATGCCTATGTGACCTGCAAAAGCAAACAAGACGATTGATCATCTCAATATCACAGCAGTAAAACATGGTGGACGGAGCAGGTTGTGCAAACGGGGGGGGGGGAGAAGTATTTTACCAAACAGGAATCAAATCGAATAAAACAAACAGAAATATAAGTGCTGGTCCTCACCTCCTCTTCATTCATGAGAGCATCTGGTTGGGCCAGCCTCATCAGACAGTCAAACACAGGGTGGACCAGAGCCACCATCGGCATGTTGTTCACCTGAATGTGAAGACATTTAGGAGAAAAGCATGATTAATACTGTGAGTTTGATGGTGACAGTAATGACCACCTTCACAATAAAGTTCACCTGGCCACAACAACAACTGCTTTTGAGGATGAAGGCGGAGTTAAACTGCAGCTGATGAGAAAGTGAACTTTTGCAACACAGGTTAAATGTCCCAAACACAGATATATCTTACACTTATTTTAGTCCAGTTTACAAACAAGACAGAGTCACAATGTTTACAGTGTTAGAGATTTTTTTAAATGTTTCAAGTTACTGTAAATAAATCAAAAATAACATTAAAGCCAGATGTTGAGATCTTCAGTATTTTCACGACATACAACACGATTACATGCTGAAATCTCTTAACAGGAAACAACAGTGACTTACCTTGAGGTAGTCAAAGATGTTACAGATGAACGTGACGAAGCACACCCACTCCTGCAGCGAGCGCCCCCTCGTCTCCTCTCGCTCCTTGAACTCCAGCTGGAGCCGGTTCAACAGGTTCCTCCTGAACACGCTCCCGTTCTGCTTGGCCTCGGCCTGCACACAGAGAGGTCAGGGTGAAGGTCAAGCATGGGCAAAAAGTCAGAAGACTAAGTAGAGCAGGTAAACTGGCTCAGAGTTTACAGCACCGAGTTTAAGACTTAAATGAGATATTTGGGTCCTGCTCTGGTTTCTTCAATCCTTCTGTTCCAGTTGTGCTCGCAGTCTGGACCAAACAAACCAAGAGGAACAACAAGTAGCTCAATGTGATGTAAACACTACGGACCTGAACGATGGTGTAACAGATGCGTCCGGCCTCTTTGCTGAAAACCTGGTCCTTGAACGACTGATCCATGATGATATTGGACACCTTCTCCAGGTTAACTGAACCTGGATCTGAAAAAAAATATAAATGCATTGTTATGGGAATAGTGTGTTTAAAGAGATAACTGTTTGGTAAGTTTTGGACTGGACAACATAAAGCTGAAGTAAAATCACATGAATAAGTGGAGTTAAGGACCTGGGAAAGTTTATCTTTGGCAGGCTACCCATCACCCTGCTTTGTCTAAAACATCTAGGAGTGACATCTACAATTTCTACATTTACAGAGAACAGCAAACAGGAGCTGTGCTGACTGCATTATAGTGAATTGTATTTAAGTATCTCATACGATCCCACTTCAAGATATTCAATCTACGCCATTGGTAACATGCACACCTTTCAAGGCTGTCTTCAGCAACATCTGCGTGTCCAGGTCAAAGGCCTGGATCCTGTAGTCATCAGAGGAGTTCTCCATTAGAGATGGTAGCACACAAATGACACCAGAGAGCCGTCACACTGTGAAGATAAGGAAACACATATTACTGCATCTTACAGCGGCCTGGGTTAAAAAAAAACAAAAAACAGCTGGGGTTTATAACAGTACTGCAACCTTGCCTACAATCCGGGCTCTGCTTCACAAAATACAGACACAGAGACACAGAACGATTTGTGTGACAACAATGAACACAAAATCCTGTGCTGTCATCAAACTGGCTGCTCATTCACTGAGGGATTACATGTGGATACTCAGGTCAACCAAGAGGTCACCCCAGGGGCGTGGCCACCCCAAAATACCAAACTATGATTGGCTACTTACCTTATTAGAGGCAGGACTTTAAAGTTAAAATCAGTTGTTCTGGCTGTGTTGCAGCTGGCTGCTACTAGTTTTCTTTCAGTGTCAGTGTAGTACATTTTCTCTTGTCAGTATATCAGTTGTTATTTATTACTGTGCACATTTATTTCATAAGAAAAGTATTTAAGAAAGGGATGAGTCCATAAAAAATGTGAAAGCAAACGTTTGCTCACTGATTAACATGAAAAGCACTTACTAGCAATGTTTGGATACCTAAACTTTTACAATAAATGCATTTATGCAAATTAGACGACGTGCAATAGTTTGCCTGCAATGTGACTTTGAGCATCTTCTTTTGGAGTCCTAAAAATATTTGAAGATGTTTGTGTTGCAGAATCTTGTAACTTACATGTAAAAATCATAAATGGGAACAGAAAGTGTAAATGAATGAAAATCATTCAGTGTGCACAAACTTCATGCCACCCCTGGACCAACCCAGACAAAAAACAGTCTGGACACGCCCCTGGGTTCATCCAGTACCCAAAACCAACAGATTCAACACAAAATAACCTGGTTTTACCTCAATAATGAAAAGAAATGACTTGCACAGCAGCCAGGCGCCTTTTACATGATACACACGTCAACATAAAGAGAAGCATCATGTTTAAACCACAGTTAGCTTGACGTGTACTGGAGTAACTTTTTTCGGTTTCTTGCCGGGTAAACACGAGTATATGTAAAGTCAAGACTTAAACAGAGTAACTATCCTGTTTATAACATACTGATAGTTAATCTGAACTATTATTGAATCAGCTGGTTGACGCGCTTCTTCTCTGAAACGTTAATAAGACGACTTAACGTTAGCGTCAAGTTTTACACCCAACCAACATTTACCTGAAAACTACCCGGAAAAAAGGTATATGAGGGATACAAAATGTTTTTAGATAAGCCAATAAGGCAATTACTTACATTTCGAAAAATAATGTAGCGAAAATGTGTCTAAATTAAGAGCCAAATCTTCACATTTGTGCTAGATAAACCGCTTGGGGAGGTGTAAGCAGACGCTACTCTGTACAGATTGTCAAAGCCCAAAGTATCGCGACAAGAGAGATCCCTGCACAGTTATATCGAGGCATGGCTAACACCACGTTACTGCCATACTGCCGACGTGTTGTTGTGAGGCAGTGATACATCTTGCCACCTTTTTCAGCTTTGGAAGGCTGCGTTCAAATGCTCATCAGATGCTCTGAGTTTCTGATTTAGTAAAGCTCTCTTATCTCTCTTAAGCTTACAATCGAGTTTTAAATTCGTAAGTTGATGAATTATATTTTATTGCCTCGCTACCCAAATCCTATAATGAAAGTTTCTTAGCTATTTCGATTTATTTTGTCTTGAGGGGACGTTTATGTGAGCTTTTCCAAAGTGATAGTTCATTTATCCGATTATTATGACGCCACTTAAATACCGGGCTCTTTATGGCCCGGAAGTAATACTAGCAGTATTTTGGGCGTGCAACAGAGAGCTGCGGTTGTCCTATAAAGTTGTCCTGTACTTTGCGTTCAGTGCTGTAGCAGTAGTTTTATTAATGAATGATTTATTGAATACGGTAAGTGTCTTTGGATCTGTACAGGTTACATAGCTGCTCCGTGTTTGTTGTTAGCTTAGCACAGCTAGTCCCAAGGTGTCATGCTTGTCCTTTACCTGCTGTGCCCATAAACTCATAAACTGGATATTATGAAATTACGATATTATGATATTACTGTTTTTCTGCTCCTCATGTCGTCATTACTTGTTGTTTTGTTCTCACTTATATAAATATATTAAAGGTATGATAATCAGGATTTATCAAGAAATAATTAGATGACAGAGAATCTGATGAAACATGGAGACTGAAAACATAAAAGAACGGCCCACACATTGAAACCCTGAGCTTTATTTAACATAAATGCCCCTCGAGATACTCCAAAAAGAAAGAATAAACCAAATAAAACAATAGGGACTGGAGACCTTGAGGAATGGAAGGTGCTGAGCCAACCACCCAATTGTCTGTGGTTGCTCTCAGCCCCTCCCCATAAAACTATGAAGACTTAAGAAATAAAATAACCTAAGAAAATCTCCTCCTCCTCCTCCTCCTCCTCCTCCCTGAGCACAGATCACATCCGGGTGTGCAGCAGGCAGAGGGAGGATGGAGACCTTAGAACCAGAGAGGGAGAGAAATAGAGCTGTATGTAACAGAGATGTCTCCTGATGTCCTTCTGCAGCATTGACCGGACTCTGAGGCTGTGGAGACATGGTGGGCTTTGACCCGTCGGCTCAGGGTGCAGTCCGCTCCCCGGAGGAGGCAGCCCTGGCCGGGTCAGCTGCTGGGATGGTGACGCGAGCCCTCATCAGCCCCTTGGACGTGCTTAAAATCAGATTCCAGGTAAAGATGTGTTTTTGTTCTTACTGTACAACCATCCTGATTTCAGTGATGTTTGAATGAAGGAGATATGATGAAACAGGAAGGATTTTAGTGTTTATGTTTGCACAGAGGTAATAATGTAGGAATAAATTACACTTATCAACAGCGCTAATTAAACTTCCACACTGTATCATGTTTTTATGTTAAATGTTCATAATGCTGTTTCCTTTCGTGCATGTGTGTCAGTGATTTTTTATTTTTTTTGTTCCCCCAGCTGCAGATTGAGCGTGTGTCCTCACAGCAGCCGGAGGGGAAGTATCGGGGATTATTCCAGGCATCCCGCTGCATTCATTCAGAGGAGGGACTCTTTGCTTTCTGGAAGGGCCACATCCCTGCACAGCTGCTCTCCATCTGCTTTGGCGCCGTGCAGGTATAGTCCTGCAAACCATCAGTCTTGAAATAAACCATTATAACCTGTAAACAGCAAGACTGATCTAGTTGTTGTGGTTCTCTGTGATCTACAGTTTGCCAGTTTTGAGTTACTGACTGAGGCGGCGCACAAGACGACGTCGTATGACAGTCAGACAGCCGGAGTTCACTTCGTGTGCGGCGGTCTGGCTGCCTGCTCGGCCACAGTGGTGTGCCAGCCTCTGGACACACTGCGGACACGCTTTGCAGCTCAGGGAGAACCCAAAGTATGAACTGCAGCTGTCAAGACATCCAGCTTCTCTGGCTTTTATCACAAGGAACTATTTTTAAGTTCTGCTGAGAAGAACTGAAAACGTCGATCATATTATCTTCTTGCTGTTTTCTCAGGTGTACAGAAACCTGCGACATGCCGTGTCCACAATGTGCCGCTCAGAGGGAGTGCTCACGTTTTACCGCGGCCTGGCTCCCACTCTGATGGCCGTGTTCCCGTACGCCGGGCTGCAGTTCTTCACCTACAACGTCTTTAAAAAGGTTCTGGCTCCATCATCTGACGCTGGGAAGTCTGGAGGTCAGTGGAGATCAAACTCGGGGCCAACACTGCACCACATTATGTGCTCACATAAGAGGAGCAGCAGATCACAAAGACTACAGATCAGATCGCATCTATTGATAAAAAAAAACCCATCTCCTTTCCATACATTTACTCAACACCTCTTCTCAATGCATCTCCATGGTATGGGTCACATCCTGGATTTGACAGATCACTGCACCTTGCTACCTGTAAGGTCTTTAATCAATCAGACTACAACTGTCAATAATGTATAAATATCTGTGTGTCTTCCTGCTTTAGCACATCCACATCACAAACACAAAACATAAATCCTTCTGCAGACCAGTCCACTGTGATTTACTAAAACAAGGAGCTTTGGCTTCATTCACAGCTTTAGCCAGCTGTTTGTTCTGATGGATCATTTGCGGTGTGAGAGTTTCATAAACATCAGAATGAGGTGTTCTGTTAGGGGTTTTGTCTTCATTCATTTTATTTTTGCATCAGCACAGCGCTGTGAAACTGAACATTTAATGACTGCAGGCTTTGGGAAAGAGTGGACTGTGTTTACAATCATCCACCAGCTGGTTATGGCAAAATAAAGAGCCCCAAAGTGGAAGCTTTCTATGAGACGAAGTCGCCAATAAAACATAAATAATTCACACTTTTGGGCTCATTTCTGTGTAAAGGCCTGCACACCCATCTCACATAAAACATGTGACAAGAAGAGTGGCCTCTTTTCACAGCAGTAGAAATGACTCTGTGGCATTGATATGCATCACTTAACAAACTGCTCCACTCTACTCTGAAGTTAGTTGTAGACTGGATATTTTCGACTGACAGGAGTGAATGTCTCTCGGATATATTCAACCTAAAACTATCTTTTCAGCCGCTGCATCGAGACATGTGACACTTCTGATCATTACACCTCAGAGTGAAGCACAACACATGTTTAATTTCTCTGCAGCTTCATGACTCATTTGCAGTAAGATTGAAGTCGCTCCACGATGTTCAGGTTTATTGTCTCTCCGCGGTTTACATGAGTGCAGTGTTGATCAGCTTTGATTCATCACACCGCGAACAAATACGAGGTATTAAAGAGTCTGTGCATGAATATCCCCTGCTTCAAGGAAACTTGAGAAGTCTGATCTGTGGCAGTGGAGCTGGAGTGATCAGCAAAACGATCACGTACCCCTTCGACCTCTTCAAAAAGAGGCTGCAGGTGGGCGGCTTCGAGGCAGCCAGAGTTCACTTTGGACAGGTAAGCTCTTCTACATCATGTCTCATAACAGTCAGACCTCATACTGTGGTCCACATCATGTGTCATTCTCTGCTGTTCTTCTGGTGCAGGTGCGGAGCTACAGAGGCCTGGTGGACTGCATGCTTCAGATAGCCAAAGAGGAGGGTCTCCGAGGTTTCTTCAAAGGCCTCTCGCCAAGCCTGGTGAAAGCGGCGCTGTCCACAGGATTCACTTTCTTCTGGTATGAGTTTTTCCTCAATGCCATGCGTAACCACAGGGAGCGTCAGAGAACAAAAGACTTGATTCAAGACTCAAAGGGAAGATAACGAAGGAAGAGGGAAAAGTAAAATCGGCTGGATCACGCACATCAGAAAACAAACGGGCGCTTTATTCTTCACTTTCTCCTCACACACATATCAACCTGCTCAATGCTCTGTGCTGTTCTCTCGTGTTTACATGAAGGAGAAACATGACCTCATTTATTATGTGTTTGTGCTCTTATTATCACATCGTGTGTTGTTGTTTTATTTCAGACTGTTTTAAAAAAGTATTTAATGTTTCACTCTGAGGGTGGAGGTTTTGGGTCGCCTGCTTTGGGGAGACGTCCAAACTGAACTTTGCACATTTTAAATCTTCGGCCTTCATACCGAAGTTGATGTTGTTAACTCACAGCGTGTGGAGCAGAATTAGCTTTGATTTTATCGACAGAAACATGCACACTTTTTGGATTTTTAATTTATTTGATTGTAAACATTGTCAGGGTTTATTGGATCCGGTGAGTGAAAGGTCAAAATGCACTGCTCACTGTCCTGCTGAGGGAACCTCTAAACACAGACTGTGGCTGCTGCTCCTTCATGTCTGTGCAACACTTTCACTTTCAGGTCATCCTTTTTATAAATAAAACTTGTTTTTTTAATGAAGACTCTAAACTCTGCGTGGTGCTTTAACATGAAGATGCATGCATGTTTGTGATGTATGGATGTCAACATGTTCGATGCCTCAGTACGTTTGGATAACTCTGGTATAAACGGTCTTTTCTAGTCTTCTGATTACTCAAAGTGCTTTTACACCACAGGTTTATATTCTGGAGTTTAACGTCTTCTTGTAGCTCCAATAGGTCTCCTAAAATAGACTTTCATGAGTTATTTAAAATCAACATGTATGATAATTATAAGTTATCATTACACTGTCACACGATAACCTTAAAAAGTATGAAGTGTTTTCTAAATGACTGTAAATTGAAATCCCAGATGTGGAGCGTCGGGGCTCTCAAGTATGGACATGGAGAAGTGCCAGGCCACGTCCTGATAGTCCCCAGGTCCTGATTGTGTGTGTGTGAGAAGCATGTCTCTCAATATCAGAGTGTAAAACCAGAGCCCTCACACAGTGATTATTTACAACAAGATTTTATTTCATTTACTTTAATGAATACAAAAATCATCAAGTGTAACGTCCAAATGAACAATACAGCAGCCGCGTTAAACTTGAGCCACATGAGCAGCGAGTAAAAACTCTGTTCAAACACAACATCGAGAACGAGGCCGAGAAAACAAAGAAAACACTTTCAAATCACAAATATTTCTGAAGGTGAATCATGCGGGTACAGAAGTCCTTCACAGACAAGGTGGCGGAAAATCACTACAACAAACACGTCAAAGGAGAAGACAGAACCAAACTTTTTAAATACACTCAAGGCGACTTCAGCATGGTTCATCACTGGATATGTTCTTCAAGTCGATACTTCACTGTTTATGTTCATACACTATGTACAAGAATACACCTCACACCTGACTGTGACAACCTTAATACTCAACTGATACGGTGGCCCACAAGGATCTGTCCAAATCACAAACTAAATACTGCAGATACAACAAGCTCCAGGTGACAAAGGCCAGAGGCTCCGATGTCTGAAGGTAAAGAAGAAAAGGAAAAAAGTGGATTCTGTACATGTGGAGTGAATGAATATTGTCGACACACCCTGAGTTTGGATTAAAGTAAGTCGATGCTCTGCTGGGATTCATGTTTCTGAGGAATGTACGCTACACTCGATGTGACTTATTAGACTCCTAACCACAACGCAATTTTCGGAGAAAGCTGGGACGCTGTGTAAAATGTAAATAGACACAGAATGTGATGATTTGCAAAACACTAAAACCTTCACCATAAAACTTCTATTAACAGGTGTCAAAAAGAGACCGCCCTTTCACTATTTGAAAACAAACTCGTTCACAGCAAAGACAGCACAGACTATAGACTATAAGTTTACATCAGAAATAATATTTAACTCTAGGGGAGTACACCAGCCTGCTGCACTGTGTGGGAGAGAGGGAGACACCCTTCTTTCTGTGTTTTTAATCTGCAAACTAATCAGCACTAAAAACATCTGAGAGCTGACTTTATTTGTCAAAAACGGCATCACCAGGCTAGTAAAAAGGGACTGGGCCTTAAATTAGGACGGGCTTCTAAAATGAAAAGAGGACAAAAACAACGTATCAAATGTTGTTAAAGAAACGTCTGGAGCGTCACACTAACAGTGACTTTACTGTGACTTTATTGTGCAGTGAAGTCGCTCTCAGTGTGACGCTCCAGACGCTCATTTCTTTTCTAATCAAATGTTCCTGCAACTGCCAAGTGGGGGGGGGGGGGGGGGTGTCCTGTTGCTCATTGGTACTGAAATGTTTCATGTTTTTTAGGAAATTAAATGCACATTTTGAATTTGACGCCAGCGACCGTTTCAGTAAAGTTTGGAGAGACCAAGACTAGAAACGCTGTGAAATGCTTAAAGAAACAGCAGATAAAACATTTCACAGTTTCTAAGGTCAGTTACATGACGGGGTGTAAAGAGAGCATCACGTAGAGGCCGAGTCGCTCTGAAGTAAAGATGGGGAACGACTCACTACGCTGTGAATGACTGAGCTGGAAAAAAAGTGAAACAATTCAAGAATAATGTTTCTTAAAGTACAGCTGGATGTTGTGCAAGATGTGAATCCACAGTAAAGAGTTCAAGTGATCAGCTGGACTTCCTGTAGACCTGACTCTCCTCTTACAAAGTGTTTTTAAAGCTGCACCAGAGAGGGCTAACATGACCCTGTCCCAACGACACATTTTGTCTGCATCAAATTTAAATTGGAAATGTAAAAATCCAGAAGGGATACATTTAAACATCTGACGGTGCTTTTTCCAATATCATATGGGGCCTCAATGTTTTGCAAATCATCACATGACGTGGTCCCAGCTTTACAGGAAAATAGTGAAATTACAAAGAACATGATGTGTTTCTATTTACATCGAACACAGCGTCCAAACGTGTGAGAAAGGTTTGTATTTGACGGATGATCCTGGCTGTTTTTGTTTAAGAAGTTGGAGCCTCTGTCTGCTTTAGTTGAACTCTCAGGGGGACTTTATATCTCTACCCTCACTGAGTTTTGGGTTCAGTCTTCCTGTGTGCACCTGTACAGGTAGTCTGAGAGCTTTGTGGTAACACAGGCGGGTCTGTAGGAGCTGGGGATCACCAGGACAGTGAAAACGTCTCCTTCACTTCCGCTGGCTTGAGGGGGCATTTGTGGGATGTGCTGGGCAGGCATCCTCTACTGATTGGACGGGGGGGTTCACAGGCGTCTGACCTTCTTCGCTCTCATTCAGGCTGCGGACTGGAGTTCCAGAGAAAAAGCTCGGCAGTTTGAAGAGCGAATCTCTGCGGCCCGGGTCGGGCAGGGTCAGGGTCTCGGGGGCGGACTTCTTCCTGGGACGCTCCTTTGGCACCGACAGGAACTCGGGGGCTTCTGTGGAGAGCGGGGTGGACGGGGCGCTGTTGGGGCCGCTGCGGGCGCAGGACGGCAGCGGGGTCTCTGAGATGGAGATGGTCGGGGGGAACGTGCCGATCTTCAGGTTGGTGGCTTCTTGCGTGGCCCGCTCGAACTCCCGGACCTCCTCCATGGTCATGTCTGTTTGAACAAGTTAACACACTTTAGGAAAAAGAAATCCAGGACACTTTGTAGTTGAGTTTGACAGAAGACAGAAACATTTTGATTTGGATGAAAAAATTGTTTAAAAAATGAAAAATCAACTATGTGGTTTAGGAACTGCAGATTTGTAAACGGATGCTTTCTCGTCTGTTTGCTTTTGCATAGGAACCATCTTCATTTTAACTTGAATATATATGAATAGTTCCATCGTGTAAACCATGGCTCTGCTTTGTTTGGATCGGATCTAGTCCTTGTACGACACATTGCTCAGAATCTTTTAGTCAGACAGATTTAGCTGTTAGCTTATTTTGGTGACAATATTCATCAGTAAGCAGTAGCTTATTAGCATGCTTAGTAGCATACTGGCTACTTAGTAGTCATTATTAATGATAACTTTATTTATATAGCAACTATTCATGGTGAATATTGTGACCTTCATTTAAAGTCATACTCTTATTTTATCTGTATGTATTCAGGTTTTAGTGAACCGTTGAACCTGTGCTCCTACATCATATTTTTCTGTAGTGATGACAAAAAGCCTGAGTTTCCTGAGCACCACCAGCGCCATCTACTTACCAATCCACTCATCCACCCAGGCAAAGGCCTGTCTGTGTCCTAAAAGTAGAACATCTCGAATCACCTGATAAAGAGGAAAAAAAAAGAGAGAGAGAGAGAAATGAAGCATAGGAAGCAAGGTCGCAGAGGAGGAGAGATAACGAGAGGACAAAGTCAGGGAGGAAAATCAAGGAGAAAGGAGGTGAATCAGAATAACTTAACTGTGATGGCTTTTAAAGTTGTAAATGTTTCTGTTCACCCCCAGAGGGATGTGATTAATATGAGTCACTGTATGAGTAATGTCCCTGCCTGTGTGTGTGTGTGTGTGTGTGCGTGCGTGCGTGCGTGCGTGCGTGCGTGCGTGCGTGCGTGCGTGCGTGCGTGCGTGCGTGTGTGTGCCTCAGGCAAGGAGAGCACAGGGACAGTTCAGCCGAGGGACAGATGCTGCGCTGGGCTAGGTGAAAGGGATTTGGGGAAATGGGAGATATGAAGTTTAAACTGTACAGCCGAGGTGAAGGGAGGCGGTGCAGGTATTTTCTGCAGGGTTTTAAAAAGGGCAGATAGCGTAGAAGGCAATAATGAAAAATCGGATTTGGTTCACGTCCAGGTGACTGAGTGTCATATGTTATCAGAGCAGAGAATGAAATGCCTCTGCCGCAGACACAGAGGGGTCAAAAAGTTCTAATGAGTGAGGAGAAGAGTTTTTTTTCTGAAAGGCGTCTACAGGATGTACACACAGAAAACATCCTGCAAATAACTTTTTTATTTAATATCCTGACCTTGTGCACAAACTGCTCTACTCGTGTTTGCAGCCCCCAGACTTCAAACTTCACGGTGACCAGTTTGTAGGAGCACATGATGGGGTCCTGGCTGTTGATCCATCCTTCCTGCAGGAGGCCTCGGCTCGTCTTCTTCGACTTAAAATAACGCAGGTCCTACAAGGCCAGAGACAACAGTTCAGAAAACGACATAAGACATTCTTTTCCTTTTTTTTGTGAATTTCTTAAGATTTGCATGTGTGCTGCATAACGGTTTGTTATCATTATTGGATGACTTTTTTGGGGTCTAATGAAACTGAATGAGGCTCCGTGTTTATTTGCATGCAAAGCAGGGAAGTGACAACCAATCACGAGTAGTTTCAGAGACCCAAATGGCTGTGCCTAGAGCTGTCCACTTGCGATCGGATCAGCTTAATACCTGCTGTGAATTGCCCCTTTGCGTCCGCCTATATTGCCCATGCCTTGATCCTCATATACAATAGGTCAACTGTTTACCTATACCTAATTAACTCTTCTTCCTAGCATTAGTCTCTGCACATACATTTGATCCTCCCTGCCTATAGGACAGGCTCACCTGCATTCATTACAGCCTCCTGCAGGGAGCAGTCAGTCTGCACACTGAGAGTCCCTGATCAAAGCTGTATGTGCTGTTTTTTTTGCACAATTTAGAATTTATTACTGTAAATATTATTTATCTTATTTTTACCTCATTTTATTTGATCTATTTTACCTTATCTCTTTTTTTACCTTATTTTGGTTGTATTGCACCACGGGACGGAGACAAACGCAATTTCGATTCCACTGAATGTCTGGCATATTTTGAAATTGACAATAAAGTTGACTTTGACTTTGACTTTGATGTGCATTAATCACTGCTCCCTATGGACTCATTATGCGGTGGCACTTATTTGTCTTGGGGGTCATGCATGTAGCTATGAGTGTGTCAGGACACATGAGAAATGCTAATGAGAGCAAAACTTACCTGTGACATGTAATTTTCTTTACAAAATGCCATGTCAACATACACATGACCAAATGATCTGAACCGTTTTCTCTTGAGTAAATACGCTGCAGTTTAAAGAAACATCTTACTGACATACAGATGGATACAGGCTTTGTATAAGACACTCTTAAAGCTTCCTGTGAGGAGCTTTGAGATGGTTACAAAACAGAATGAAATCAATACTAAAGCCTCTTTGTGGGCTACAAAATCAAACAAGAACATCAGCGACAAGATAAATCATTTCTGTATAGTTTAGCGTTCAAACGTTTAGAAGTCCCACCTCTAATGGACACAGCCAGGAATGACTTCCTGTGGCATTCTGTGCATGCACATTTATTTAAAATGTACAAATAATCATTATTATTTATACTAAAAAGTTCATGATTACAAGATAAAAACAAGTGCATTTCTCACTATTGTTTTCTACTTGTGCTTCTCCCAGAGTCCAGCTCCTTTTGCTGTCGGTGCTATGATTGGTTTTCATTTAGTCTCTGTGGATTGTTTATGTATAAATGAATTATCTAGCGGGCGCTGTGGTGCATTGACAGATGTGTCTCTCCAAAGCCGATCCGTCTTTAAATCCAGAAGATATTTACTTCAGCCACGTGAAGTCTAATTTTAGCTCAGGACTGCAGCTCGCTGCTATTTTTAGCTCTGAGAGGGGAGCATAAATCCTGGTGGGGAGGCGTGTATTCAAGTGTGTGTGTGTGAGAGAGAGAGAGTGTGTGTGTGTGTGAGAGAGAGAGAGTGTGTGAGGGGGGGTTTCAATAATAAAACACTGCAGTGACATTATGACCCCTCCTGATTATAAAATCGCTTCGCTTTTGATTACCATCGCACCCTGAAAGACGGACGCACACACGCATACAAATGTCTTATCACAACGGCAAATGTACATCGCCTTCCCTGCACACGCACGCACACACACACACACACACACACACACACACACACACACACTCATATAAACACACATCTCCATCACTCTGAGGAGGCAGATGGGCGACGGGTGGTCAAAAAATGAGCTGAGAAAGATAACACACTCGTCTGTTTATGCGCTCACACTTCATCCTTTGTCTTCAGTCGTCATTTCTCTCCTGTCCTTTCTCCTCGGATCTCTCTCTTTTCATCTTTCAGTTGACCCCCCCTTTAGCTCTGCCATGTGTGCGTGTATATATTTCATCTGTGCTCCTCTTCACACATCAAAATGTTTCAATACTTTGACACTTTGGTACCGAAATATTTTGTGCAATTTAGACAGTGTGCAGAAATACGGTTGGAATTCTTGATACTTAAAAACAAGAAATTACCTAACTTTAGGAGCCTTGGTGTTGACAACCTCACGACACACATACAATCATAAACATCCTGCAGGTCAGTTCCCTTCTCTCACCTCGGACTCCTTGTAGTGGCGCTCAGGGATCTCGTCGTAGACGATGTCCACCAGACACACCTCTGTCTCTTCCTCTCTGAGCTCGTTGTTGAAGATCTGAGGAACAGGGAAAGATTTAAAGAGTAAACTAGATCAATAATGCACTTTTAAAGGTTGACAAATGTTGCATGGTGATTGGCTGTGATCTTCCCTGGAAGTCAGTGAAGCAGAGTTTCAAAGCGCTGCAGGGGGTTTGACAATAAGGTGAAATGTCCTGTTGATCTTAAAAGTCCAGATGACATTTTGAGCCCCGTTCTCCCCTCTGGCTTCACCGTCACTGAATAAATGTGAGGATGAATGTGACTCACACAGTCAGGGACACGACCAGTGATCAATGATTTAAGCCCGAGTCTGACTCATACAGGGACAACAGAGAAATGGAAGCTGGTTAGCTGCCGCTTTAAAACAACTTCCTCATTTCCTGCGTCACAGAAAGTCGGTCATACTTTTATAAAGGTGAATACGCAGAGGTGGGAAGTAAGAAGGTGCAGATAGTTAAGTAAAGTTTTGACTAAATTCAACATTTGAAGGAGCATGTTGAGACATGAACGGGAGCAATACGCTTCTCAGGTCCTGATTAAAAGACAGCAGTTATATTATAAAAGAAAAGAATACAAAGTGAAAAAGAAACATAAACTCAGTGTAAAAGAGAAAACAATAAATCCATGGGATGAGGTTTGCCTTCCCAGCATCAAGAGCAAATTCAACCAAATAAAGATGGAGCGTATGAAAAGACATTTCCTAAATGTGTATGACAGATGCAATGTGACAAAAACGACCTCAAACACACATCAAGATGAAAAAACAACAAGTATGGAAATGCTGCTGAGAAGAAGCGTCTTGTGGATTTCAGACAGTTACCACAACAGATTCAGAGGGAAGAAATCTAAATCCAGAGGATTAAAAGTTCATTTTCATTATTTAAAGTCATTTTTTAAAATTAATTTAAAGGAGCAATATGTAACTCTGACCCCTAGTGTTTAAAAGTGGGTACTGCAAATTCAAAACATTGGAGAGATCTGTCTCCCCCTCCTCCTCCTTAGAGTTGATGCTCATGCTGGTTACCATGGTGTCAACACTGAAGCTTCACTGTTTCACGTTTCTGCTCGTGGAGCTTATTAGAAACATGCAGAGGCTTTTTAGGTCGGGTACAATCACTTCTATCTGAACCAGTTCTTTCGCCCGCTTCCATCGCTGCAACACCTGTTGACCTGATAACTGCTCTCATATCTGACAAACCAGGGGCATCCAAAACGGCCATGTGGGTTGCCTTAAAGCGGCCTAACCTTCTCTGGTCCAAACAAATCCAGAGCATTCAGGACTAGAATCTAAAGTTAGAAGGAGGACATACTGGCTGCTGCATTGTTGTCAGAGAAGACAGCACTCCTTAATGTCTGATCATATAGTAAGGTCACTTTATCATTTCAGTCACGAGATATCTTACACGTCATGAGGTTCTTTGAAGAGAAACAGCTGGTAGAGGAGGGGTCTGTTAGGGGGACACTTTTAATTTCATACTGTCAGTAAACTTCAGAACCTTTTCTTCTTCACTTTAACTTAAGTTCAGAAGCTAAATTAGTACATTTTTTCACATCAGGATTTAGGTCCACCTTTTTGTAGGAGGACAGAGTTGTTAGTAAGAGACCAGAAAATTATATATGATTATATATGATACTAAAAGAATAAAAACAGGTGAAGCAGTTAGTAGATTTAAAACCTCAAAGCAGAAGAAGCAAACACTTGTATGTTACTCCTCTACTCTCACGTCAGAAAACACCCCCACTTGTTACAATCCATTCTGAAATCTGAATCTGTGAATCCACCACTATGGGCGTGCTACTCTCATGAGCCACCACTAGGTGGAGCTGCGGCCTTTTGTTTCCAGTGACAGTATGGATCGAGGCGGGATTGCATAACCTTTAGATTGGTGTGAAGTGTTACAGAAGGAGAGGCAAAGGAGTTTCAACCTGTGATGAAAGCAATCATTTTTTTTATTCTTCAGTAGTTTTATTCAATCTTTATCTTTTCAGTCATTGTGGATATTTTTAATTTGTCTTTGTGCTGTTTCACACTGGTGGAATTGAAGGTGATGTCTGTGACTTGTTGCTGTTAATGAGGCTGCATTTAAGTAACCAGGGCGGCAGGTGAAGTGTTAATGAGTCCATAGCAGCAGGAACCTACGAGAGCTCAGGAGCTCCCAGGAAAATATGTGGAAAAGCAAAAATCCTGCACACTTCTCTTACCCGACATCACCAATTAATTAGAGAAAATCACTACGTTTTGGTCCCTCTAAACCTTTGTCAACACGCTTTAAAGGATCAATGTGGTGATGCCGAGCAAGAGCAGTGTGCAGGATTTTTTCCTTTCAGTGTGATAGTTTCATTTCCTATGCACCTACTTCATGAGGTAGTTGGATGTGTGAACACCTTCTTTAAATCCACCTTAAAAACAAAATGATCCACAAGATTGAGTAAGATCACATATCCTCTTCATGACTGTGAATTCATAATAAGATTAAATGATGCAACAATGATGCAATAAACTTTTGAACGTGACTGTTCACATCTCCTGATTTGGAGAACAGGGAGGTAGAGGTAAAGAAAGAACATTGTGCAAAACACTTCGCTAATATAGAGTTCTCATTTCTTAAAAACGCTCTACTCACACTGTCATTGCTGCCTTTGTTATCCTCGTATTTGGTCTCAATGTGGATGGAAAACTTGGGCAGGAAGGAGCACTAGAGGGGACAGAAACAGACGGGTAAAGTACGTACAGTGAAAACGTTGTCAGGTGGTGATTAAATGTAAGAAGGAGGAAGATTTCGCTCACAGGACGAGAAGCGAGACAAAGTGTGTGTCTGTGTTTTATGACCCAAACCAAATGAGCGATAACGATCGTTTTTTTTTACCTTCTCGCTGTGTAAATTTACAACGGCACAGCACACACTCTTCCACATCAATACGCGCACGCACGCACGCACACACACACACACACACACACACACACACACACACACACACACACACACACACACACACACACACACACACATAGAGTTTATGCCCCCCAGCTGTGTAGACTGCTGTTCATTAGCTCTTAAACGTGGCTGTTTGATCAGATTAAAGCCGAACACTTTCAAAGTTATTATACAACCAAAGAGTGGAATACGGGTTACATAAGCTGCTGATGTCGTAGCGGGTGTGTGTGTGTGTGTGTGTTTGTAGCACAGCAGGACAGAGAGAGCACCACAGAAGAAGAAGCTTATGTCGAAGGCAAGGGTCAATCCTGTTTGTGCTTAAATATTTACATTCATCCTGATTTAAGGAAGGTCGAGGGTTCGATCCCCCAGCTGAGCAACATGTCCGATGTGTCCTTGGGCAAGACACTTAACCCTGACTTGCTCCCTCTGCTTCGGTGGTAGTGTATGAATGGGATTAGTTACTGATGGATGATACTACATAGCGATCACTACCATGAGGGTGTGAAAGTATAGGGGTGACATGCAGTGTAAAAGCGCTTTGAGGAGTCGGAAGGCTAGAAAAGCGCTATAAGCTCAAGTCCATTTACCATTTAAAGTGAGCTTTTTTTGTCATTTTATTAATCACATGTCATGCAGACATTGCTAATAGAAGACGTCCCTGTCAGGTCCGACTTAGAACGCCAAGTTAAGACCCACTTAGCTTAAGACCAGCCCTGTTGGTGCAACCAGCCCCTTTTTTGTTGTAAAAATAACTGGTAGGTATCTAAATGTCAGCCATGATAAAAGAGCCTCAAATACTCTAAGTGCTAGAGAAAGTGCTTTGTATCCTCAGCATGGAAAAAGTGGAAAAACCTGCTTCAAAAAGGAGAAACTCCGTCCCACAGCTTGTTGAAGCAGCAGAATTTGATGCAATGCAAAGTTCAGCACCACGAGTCAAGACCAGTGATGTTAAAAGGCTCAGCGTAAAAGTGCAATCAGTTCCTTTAGCAACAGGATTCTCACTGCCGAGTCCTTGACCCTTTGAGTAGGTTAAGAGGTCTGTGTAGAGGCCTTGAACATGCATTTATTTTTGATTATTCACCTGCAGAAAGGGACTCTAAATCCACTCTAAGGCAGCCCTGTTAAACTGTTCTATTAGTTACATTTGTGCTCCTGTATGCATCGAATCATAGTTCCATGTCAACATGACCTCGATGACAGAGCCTATTAAGCGGAAACTAATATTAGCTAATCATTTAGAAACAAACAAAGTGGAACTGAGGCAAATGGCAGAGCTTTTTGTTTGGAAAGAATTGATGAGACCTTTTACTCATAACCTGGCTGGAAGGCCATGACACGCACGGGAAGGACCCTGATGAGGGCCACAAGCCGAAACGCGTCGATCTAATTTGTTCAAAAAATGTATCTTCATACTACAAGTGTTGCTGGAGCATTGTGACCTCTTCAAGACATATGGGAAGGTTTCTGACAACTTCATGTCGTTTACCTCCCTTTCACTGTTTTATTTTATTTTTATTTTATTTTATCATGTAAATTATGAGAAGCTATTTAAAGACCCCTTGTTAACTGCACTACTTAAGTTATGACCTAAAATTGAAAATGTCTGGCAATTATTCTGATGTTATGTTGTTGATGTTTTTTCTGTTGGAAAAATAATTAAAAAAAAAAATTTAGTGGCAAAAAAGACATATGGGAAGGACACCATATTTGATAATATTAATTGTAAAAAAAAAAAAAGAAAAAAAAAAGGAAACGATTGAAAGTATAATTGGAAACATGTGTGGCATAATGAAGTATAGGATGGTTGGGATGAGTCCAGGTGGAATGAGAGTCAGAACAACAACTGGGCTGTGGCTTTGATGCCCTGAGAGCAGCAGGCCCAGGTGATCTGAATTCGACCAGAAGATTCCTCTGAGAACAAGGGAGACAGGACTTATTAGTAGAAGCCTGATTATAAAAGTAAGGCAGTGACCGTCACACTAACTACTTTTGTCATTACTCATCAATCTTGCTCATCATCCCGCCCACATTTCTCCAACAGAAAACAAAACTTCCCCAATCTGAATCAGTCCCTTCAGGCCGTGTGAGTCCAAAAGTGTCCCTCTGTGTGGTTAGTGACTCAACATTCCTGATTTAAAATAGAAAAACCGAGCGCCGATCTTCACCTACAGCATGTTTTTTTTCCTAGAAAGAGACTGATATTCTTTTGTTTGCAAAGTTGCTGTTCCACTTTCACATCGGCCGTCATGACCTCCCTCAAACATCCAGATGTTCCGTGTGTCTGCTCACAGTCTCCGGGGAGACGCTGGCCTGCAGCTGATTTTATTTGTGCCTCATTGATGTTTCCTCTCCGCAGTGGACATACGGTGGGGCAGGCTGGATGTTCCTCTGATTTCCCAGAGCAAATCATTAGTGCTCTTTTCTCAGCGACAGTCAATCGAGGAGGTTTCTTAATGACTGCGAAGGGAAATTTGTTTGATTAGTAGATATTGAGCGTCGGGGTTCGGGGTCAGCGGGGATTCAGGTGAAGCAGCAGACGATTGTTGAGGAGAAATCAGCGGCTAGGGAAGGTGACAGGTTGATTTGACTTGGCTTTGCATGTTAAGGAGCTCTGGAGTAGAAAATGAAAATCTGATTTCAGATGAAAGCGGCTGAAATGAGATTCCTTCACAGGGCGTCTGTGTTCACCCTCAGGGACATGATGATGAGGAGGAGTAAGAGTAGAACGGGTGCTTATTTTGCATATAAAAGAGACATTTGGTCAATATTCAGATCAGGACTCATGCGGCTTATACGACCTCTGTATGACGCAAAGGTCTGACCCCCAACTCTTGAGGGATTTCATATACACAGCTGAGTGACCGAATCAATAGGTGAGGTTAATTACTACTCTTGGGTACCTTTTTATTGACTGAAAATAAACATATCGACCACCAATAGGAGGACTATAAAACATGGGGTTTAATGGAGGATCCAGATCAGGGTTTGCTCATGATGTATGAGCTAAATAAGATGTGTTTCAAAGAAGGCGACCGTGAAAATGTCAACGTGTGGGGGAAAAAAAGCAAAAAATCTGAGACAAGATGTTATTTCTGTTTGATTAGATTCATTTTGTTCTGAGCACAATCTGATCAATAAAAGGTCACAGTAACATAAGCAGAATGTCAGTAAACGAAAACACCCTCTCTCTCTCTCTCTTTCCTCTGCAGACAAACCCTCAGACACAAGCGCTGTCTAACTTGACGATCACTCATCTCCTCATACTGTTAACGCTGTGTTTTGAATGTGATGTCATTCTCGTGGAGTTTAATAAAACTGCTTGTTATCTCCACTTTTTCACTTTTCTATGATGTAATGTTTAGTTATTTATTGGGACAACTGTGGAGTCAGCTGAATGTTTACATCTTTGGACTCCAAATTCTCCTTAGGGGACGTATCAAACTTACCCTATTGTTTGTTTCACAAAACCTGCCATATGCAATATGTCTGACAAGCCACACCCCCTTGTTTGAGCTCAAATTCAAATCCAATTGCAGATCAAACATGCAGAGTGAAAAATTTGAAATGAGATGTGTTGTATGGCATCATATCATATTGTGTCGTATCCAAGCTGCAAATGCAGAAATGCAAAATCCTGCAGTGGGTCGAGTGTCCGCTTGAGGCCGGCTCAAGGAACACAGGAAGTCACATACACACCAACAGGCGAAAAAGCTGTTTTTACAGCATAAATAAACATGTTTACAGCCTGGTACAAAAAAACGTAATAGGTCTGATTAGTTACTGTCATCACTGGCACACACTGTACTGTATCAAACGTACCGTATTGCATCATATCATATCTTATCGATCGTATAGTAAAGTATTGTTTCGTATCATATCTAACTTATAGTATCGTATTGTATAATGTCGTAATCGTACCGTACTGTTTCAAACATATTGTATTGTGTGGTATGATATCATATCATATTGTAAGTTGAGCAGCTTAAGCACACAAATCAAGCGGGTTGTCCACTAATCGAACAATTTTACATAACATTTTAAGCCCCAGCTTCTCCGGTCTGTATGTCCAAGTCCACAGAGTCTAAATTCCTCCCAAAGGAATGTCCTCTGTGTGTATATGAATGACTTATTTAGATTAGATCTCGACTCGCAGGTTAACAGCTCCTGCTATCTACGTAGGTTAATGCTGAAATGTGAAAAGACCTTTTTAAGTGCATTGAATTCAACAATATTTATCATACTAGAAAGCATGCAAACACACCACAGCATCAACATAAGGCCATCATTCAAATGTTATCAAGCCATTTCAACTCAGAAGGGTTTTAATGCACAGCTATACAGAGGCAAACAATATGACAGATGGTGCAGTGAGACACATGCATGTGCATGCTAACATGAATTCCTCCCCGAGAGAGACTTTTATCAGGACAGTCACCTCACACATATCTGAGCCTGCAGCATGCATGAAGCATATCCCCCCCTCGTCTTTAACCTTCACCACAAAGATTTAGATGTTAGACGCATGAATCAGAATGTGTGATAATGTGTGAGATGCACAAGTACTCACCGTGTACTCTGAGCGTATTCCCAGCAGACCGCATCGTTGTGACAGACAGAAATGGGAGGTGTGTGGAGGAGGCGGACACGGAGAGACGACAGAGGCATCAAACAGGTTGAGAGGGATAAGAAGAGCAGAATAAGAGGATACTTAGATCAGGATGCTGGAAAGAAATTATACCTCAGTAAAAGCACTTTGGTGTTATCAAGCACCAGGAGACTAGTTTGGTCTCTGTAAGACGGATACGTTTACTCTGTGCATGGTCCTACTGTGGATGAACTTAGTCCAATGTGTTTGTCGCATTGACATAATGTGTATCACATATATCATGCACTATATCTGCAACAGTTAGTAACTGCAGTGCTTTGTTTGTTGTATTTGGTCACAAGTGTAAGTTAGGAGATGTTTTAGTGTTTTGATTCTAAAGATGATCCTGAAAATGGTGTGAAAAGTTTTGTTCTTTTGGAAACTTTTGTGCCGACCTGGATGTTAAGAAAGGAACTCAGTACTGAACGCATGATATGTGATGAAAACAGAGTGTGAATCAGTGCTGCTTCTGATACCTATTTATACATTTTTTTAAAGTAGTTGACGGCCTGTTATGAAGACACTTGAATACAAAAGGGCCCTTGAAGCACGCATACCACCAACACTTCTTGCTTCTTCAAACTGCAAATGTATAAAAATACCAAAACTGTAGGAATTCAATCTGCTGCTTTTGATTTCTTGTTCAGGAGTTAAAGGAAGAATGTGCAGCTTTTTGATCCAGTAGCTGTCGCCCTGAACACCATACATGAAACCAAAAGAAAACTGCTGTTTGGAGACACCTCTACTATTCTGAAGCCTTCCAATATCTGTTTTTATTTCACAGTCTTTGGTTCTGTAGGTCGTAACAGCAGCACTACCTGTGATTGTGTACGGGTAATAGTTCCAAGCCTTCTCTGTGACGTAGAATATTTTCGGGACCACCGCTCTGGCCCAGCTTGGAAGTTTGCTGAAACACAGAGAGAGACAGAAAAGTTGGATGAGTTGTAGTTTGAAGAATCAGAGGACAAAAAAGTTGATGAGACAAATAGCTTTTATGCTGTTCAGCCAAAAAGATTTCTCTCTGTGCGTTTCTCCTCTTTCTCTTTGGCCCCTGTCACCCAGCCAAGTAATGACAAACATCCAGCTGTGTGAAGCCACAGCGAGGGGGGGGGGATTAAAAAGGCAGTCACGACGGCCCCTGGGGAAGTTGATAACGATGATTACACCCTGAACCCTGCAGTGGACTTTCACCAAAGTCTTAGATACAAAGAGGGACAAAGACAGTCCGAAAGTTCAGAGACATAGCTATTACTCAGCAGAAACAGATTCTTGAAAGTTGAAGACATGTTGTCGAGAATCTTTTTTGGGGCCTCAACAGGAAAGGGAAACCTTTGTTAGCTGGAGGCAAAATGGCCGAGCCACAGATTTGAGAGATGCATGAATTTAAAGGTGAATGAAGCACATTTCTTTAAAACTGGGAAGTAAACACTTCAAATTTCAAATATTCAAATATTCAAATACTGCTTTTCTGATGAACATCACAAGTAGAACGGCTGAGAAGTGCTACTTCAAAAAGCAAGGTTTCAAAAACATACAGGTGCTCTTTGGATACAAGGACAGATCATACAGCTAAGAGCGTAAAAGATGAATAAAGACAAAAGAGACGAGGGGCGTAATATTTGTCTCTAGTTAAAATCGGTGTAAAAATCTTCAACATATGAGGTGAAGTTCTGTTTAAGGTTGATAAAATAATTAATCCTTTGACACCTTTTGATACCATGAGTTTCATCGCCATGCACTCTCTGATATTTGTAATGATTGACAGAATCGAAAGTTATCCAAGCTTTAAAAAAACATCAGATCTCCAGTCATGTTTTTAACCCAAAGCCACCGCCAGCAGAAAAAGAGAGAGAGAGCACTGTCTAAACTGACAACGTTTCAGTATAAATAATGGTTGAAAAAACACGCTCAACTCCCTTTCAACATAAAACAACAGGGTGTTGAATCCTGAAAAAACATTAAAACAAGAAAAACCACAAGGCCAGCACTCCAAAATTGTATTTTAATTGCCACACGGCGTCCTCAGCGTCTAACAGACAATTTCCTCAAACATACACAGGTGAAGCATCCAGTCGAAAATGTCCGTGTGGCAATTAAAATACAATTTTGGATTGCTGTCCTGATTGAGTTTCTCGTATGCCAGCTTATTTGAGCAATTTTCGACAGTGAGCTGGAGTTTGCCTGCATTGTTTGTAATAAAACCCAAGAAAAGAGCAAATATGTGATGCCTAGTTCTTGTATTTTTGTTACTGTGTGATCAAAACAAGTCATCTAAGTTCTTCCAGCTTTCTGAGTTCAAAATCCTGGTATCTTGAAAACCCTAGTCGAGCTATGTTTGCAGAAAAACAGCTGTTAGAAATCTCCTTCAGAGGGGTACTGAGTACAAGTCTGCAATTTATCACCTCCATTTTAATGAAAGTTACTTTTAGTCCTACCAGACTTTTTTTTACAAGTATGTGTACTTCTACTTGGTAAACAAAGTGTGTTCGTTTACTACCTTGGGATTTGTTTGATTAGTTCTTTATAATGGAGCCGTTACAAGAAGAATGCGTCAGTGCAAATGGTGCCATTATTTAGCCCTGTGAGAATCAGTTTGCTGCAGCACCAATCACATTTGCTCCCATTAGTTTCAAACTGAATACAAGCCAATCGCAAACACAGCAAAAGGCACCATAATGGAACACAACCCCATTATAAAGTTGTAGCAGTTTTCACTTTCAGGATGATTATCTTTTAAACCAGCCATTGATTATTAAAGTCTCACTTCTAATTCTGTCTCCAGCGGCTGTGAGTGAAAGAGTCTTCATGAGGCACCGAGACGGGGGACAGACGGCTCGCTCCCGTCTCTCTCCACGGGGGGTGTGCAGACGCTGCACACTTGTCACATGTCCTCACACTGCTTTAACAACAAGACACACACACACACACACACACACACACACGCATGCACAGACTGCAGATTTAACATGGTAACAGGTGGTTTGTGGGTGGAGTGAGGCGAGTGAGGCGAGCGCGGCGTCCAGCAGTGACTGCTCAAATTATCCATCATTCACACGCGGACCTCATCGGTCCCTGCCCACACTCACTGTGACACCAAGACATATATATACACACACACACACACACACACACACACACACACACACACACACACACACACACACACACACACACACACACACACACACACACACACACACACACACACACACACACACACAAAGGCACTAAGCCCTTCTCTCCTCTAAGTCTGTCAATGACACTTCACATTTCCCAGAGGCCCTCTCACTTTGTCACTTCAGACCGCAGACTCTTCTCTTTGTGATTCTCTGTGCGGCTCGCCACTCGTCTCGTTGTCGTACTTTTGGGAGTGAGTGTTCTGGTTGTCTGTGACAGTTTTTCATTCTGCTAATACAGGCTTTAATCTGATCAGTTATCATTTTAAAACCCAAAGAAGAAGGCTTATAAATGGAAGTCTGTAATGTAATGAATTTCCACAAGAGTACATTTTGTCATCAGTTCGAGCATTAATGTTTAATATATTGGACATGTATTTGTTTGTCTTCCTTGTGTAAAGCACATTGACTTGCCTTTGTGCATGACATGTGAAATATAAATAAAGCTGCATTAAATAAAAAAAAGGCTTAAAGTTATGCATCATTAGGGTCATGGTCAGTTTGAGTGACTTCAGTGTATCTTCAGCTAATTCAGTCACTAAACTCTGGTTATGTTCAAAGTGTGTTTTATAGATTTTTAATGTAAATATCAGACAAACTAAACTATATGGATGAACGTGTGTGTTAAGGCACTAACAGACGATCACAAAAGGTCTGTGTGCCAGATTTTTCAGTGAGTGAAGTTATTTTCTTGTATTTTTTGATATGTTAGCTAGTGTTGTATTACTAGAAATCAGCCTTGGTCTCAAAACGGGTCTTGTGGCAACTTTTTGAAGGTCTCGTCTCAGAATCCAAAGTATTTTACTCGGTCTTGTCTCGGTCTCAGACTGGACGGACTCCAAATTAATCAAGACTGGTCAAAAACCACCACTGATGATGGGCGTCATTACTGTGATGAGAAGGAAAATGCCTCTTTCCAAAATAACAAATAAAACCGGTGTTACGGTCTAAGTGAGTGACACGCCTGCTGCCCACAATGTGAGGATTTCTCAGTGATATTTATGGTCTTGGTATTTTCTTGGTCTCGGGTATGTCTTGGTCTTGGTAAGTGTGCTGACACTAATGTTAGCACTAGCAAGCCGGTATATCTTAAAGTAATCAACACACCGGACTCGTTATCTCCTTCAGTGTCTGTCACATGTAGATTTGATTGTGGTACTAGTCGTGCACAAGAGTCAGGATTTTCCTCTCAGAGAAGATGATGGGCTGTAGTGATAGGACGGACCAGCTGTTTTAAAACCAGCTCTTACTGGTCCACTCTTAGATCCAGCAAAAAAAAATCAACATTGGGACGGCCACAATGCTAAAGTTAAGGTTAAAACTTGCTCATGAGATATTGAATGTTGTCTCTGTCCATTCTTTAAGTCCATCCTGTTTGTCTCCAGCGCTGTGTTTGGTGAAAGCATAGCCCGCTCACTGCTACTTGTTGGGATTACTCCGAAGTTTGAAAGTCCCTGAAACCGTGCAGCGGGTTGAGTTACATTTAAAAATCCACAGATGTGCACGTGCTCCAGCAAGACACTAAATCAATACCAGCTCCAGTTCACCGCGGCTGACCCTGCGCTCTGATATATGTATGGAAATCAATAGAGTCAAATTTCATTACCTTGATAGGATCTGGAAGAATTTATGGACATGCGCTCCTGTCAAGTGTTTGATGTGGATTTATTGACCGAGCAACTATAAACCAACGGTATGTGATCAACTGTGATGAAAGTATGGGTGTGTAGAGAAATAAGCCATGTATGCAGGCAGTAGAGGTTAAAATACAACCTGTGAGATTTGGAGGTGTGCATTTTTGAGTGTCTATGTCTCGGTTTCAAGTTTCTTTGAATTTCTCTTTATAGCATTTTAATGTTTCAGGCCTCTCAAAGCTTTCTCAATGTCTGTTTTCCTACAGCTCATCCTTTTCAATCGTTACACATGAAATGAGAAAATCAATGAGGTGCTGATTCAGGCTTTCACCTGGATTCACCTCATCAGTTTGGTTATGATGAGTAAAACTGTTGGCCATATTTAGAACAATTGCATATGAAAAAGCAACACGTACTCAGAGTGAGGAGGCCACACTTCAGACGATGATCAGAAGTTTGTTCGATTGAAATCTACATAACAGAGAAATCAAAAACTCAATTTCGAGCTTAACAAGTTCAGTAAAGCACGGAGCAGCGCTGAGCAGAGAAACAGACCTCGAAAGTCATGAAATGTGACACCTAATTACATTTTTAACCTACCTCATTCCAGAAACACAACACTAATACTTAGAGAATTGGTTCTCAAAGCATTAGAGCCCGAGGGGTGGCAACTGAGATCTCAGGAAGGAGCCCTGGAATTATCTAGACATTTTCAGGAGTGAATATATGAAAACAGCTTAAAACTGAAGGTTGGAAACACTGGCTTAGAGCAACGTCTTTTTCTCTGTTATACTCTCCATGTCCTTTATATGACTTTACATACTCTTTTTTTGTACATACTCTGTTTATATTCTAATTATAGAGTCTTAAGATCTCGACACGGTCGGACCTCTAACTGTTATAACCCATGTCTTCACACCAACAACTTGGCTGCGGTAATTGTCAGTAACAGCTTAGCGTTGAAAAACCATCACGTCTTCTTTATTTACCAAACTTCTTCTGAAAGCTTTTTCTGCAGCCGCCTCTAAACCTCACACTCATGATGCAATGTTGTGGATCATTAGAGCGAGATGAACGATTGAAGAATAAAAAAAGTCAAACGCAGAAGCTTTGATGTTTCTTTTGCTGCTCGACAATCAAGGTTCACGTTTCTGCTTTTGGCACCAAAGGAGAATGTTAAACACCCGCTGTGTGCATTGTAAATAATTCAATAAAAAAAATGGTGTTACATGGCACGGTGCAGACACTCACTTGTTGAGGTAGATTCTTTTCTCAGTGAACTGTCCTGATCCGTGCTCAGGGTCATCATACGGCTCGTTCTGGACCACCTCCACCCCCTCCCCGCGTTCGCTCTGTTCATGGCTGTGTTTGCTGATCATGTACAGCTGTCCAATCTGGTACTGAAAGAAAAAAAGAGGAGACAAAGGAATGAGAGGCTTGACATTAGATGTATTGTTTTTAATAAATCTTTTAAAAGAATTAAGATTTGAGAGAGTCAAATTGTTGAAATTGGTGCATGGCACATTATTTTCCAATGGGTAGATATCTGTCATCAGGGCCAATATCAGCTGATACCAATCTTCAGTTTGAAGCTTGAAGATTGAGATTTTAGGTTTGACCTGATGCCATTTTTTAGGAGTAATGCAGAGCTTTAGATACACCTCTGATGGGTTATTTCACATGGCAACAATGTGCTCTCCAACGACTGACTCAACAGTATATTTTTAGAGCAGCCATTAAAATACACACAGAGAGGAAAATACCAGGATAACAGCGCTTAACTCACAGCACCTGACACCTGAGGGAAAGTCCCCATAGTGAGCAGAGGAAAGCTGAGGACTTAAAGATCTGTCTGCAGCAGACTGACAAAGTCCTCACACCAGACCAGGACACCCGGCAGCACAACAATAGTAACAGCAGCAGCAGCAGCAGCAGCAGCAGCAGCAGCGAGGGGACTCTTTCCAACGACCCCTTGTGACTCATCCGTCAACACACACATCAGTCACTCCTCGATGACTGACCCACTTGGCTGAATGACAATGTCACTTTCGGTCGCTCTGAAAGGCCGGACAGGGGCGTCACACGGAAACTATTTTCCATACATTCGGAAAACGACATTCGTTGGGAGTGAGAGTGCTCCAGGATGGAGATTTCTGACTGCCTGTCGACCTATTTCCAGGGCCGGGGAAATCGATCTGACCCTGATGGTGACTTTTTACCACCGTGAAAGAATGCAAAGGGTTCACTTAGGACTCAACTGCCCACACACACACACACACACACACACACACACACACACACACACACACACACACACACACACACACACACACAGAGCTCCACTAAGGATAGCTGTGTTAAGCTAATGGAAAAAAAGCACCACCTGGGATCTTGACTTGTGACTCCACATCCAGCCGCATAAAGAGAGTGGAGATGTGTGATAGTGTAAAGGGGAAAAAAGCAGTGCCAGTGTGTATCAGTGTGTAACATCTTATTTCACAATGGTACATTTTTCCATCTGCGGGAAAAGAAAGGTGTTGAGCCGGAGTATTCCCAGCAGGAATGTTGATGGCGTCGTGTTGCGTTTGAGCAGCTGTTAGAGTGTGTTGGCATTATTTTTCCACTGCAATGACACAGACACAACCACAAGTGATAGAAGAGAAACCTGCACTTCATCTTAAACACACATTACAAGAATATAAATCCATTACATAGTTCTACATTTGTTAATAATACTTGTTTAGATTGACTGTTTCCAAACATCATAATTGCTCCTATAAAGACGTCAAATGACCAGCAGAGGTGGGCAGCGTGACTCGAGGTGAGTTGGTTACAGGCTGTTGGTTTAATCAGCCAGCCGATAATTTTGGCTGATATTAGCTGATACCAAGTGACTATTGGTATCGGCTAATTTTATCGCAGATATGTGCCGATATTACAAGATTTATTCACCAGTCAAATAGCATTTGAATTTCATTGTATTACACTAGCAGTTTTCCTTCACCAGCAGAGGGCGATATATGGACTACAACAAGTAGTATCACTCTCCAGACTGTCAAGCAATGGTGAACGTACATGGGCGGTTACGTTCCAGTTGAGTGACCATCTCGTCTTCATTATAAAGTGTTTGATAACTGCATTTGAGAAATTAATGGAATAAATGTGTTTATCTATATCTAACTATCTTTACAGATTTCTTTTCCTCTCCCCGATATATCAATCGGCTCCCAAAAATCCCATATCGGCCGGGCACTAGTCCACACTACATAATTATCAACGTTACGATTGGCTGAGAGCTCAACTAGCGTACAGTTAGGCAGCAGGATTAGTAAACTCCACACATGGAAACAGATGGTACTAGAAATGGCTAAGCAGCTGCACGGAAACTGCACGTTAATGACTTTGCTGAACTTAGTGGAAATGTTTCAAGGTACCGTTTTCAAATGTGTAGAAAATAACACCAGCTGTTTTAAATCACAGCAGCACTCTACTTCCCAGCCTTAGCGTGATGCCAGAGGAAAATGCCCCCATGAATACTGGTATTTTGTTTGCACCTTTGCACTTGAGTGTTGTTTGTTTAATTTTTCAAAGGTCCTGTCTTTAATAAGCTGTATTCAGGAGCTATCAGAGTGCTGCAGAATGGGCGGGATCATGACATTTAAAGACAAAAGAAAAAAGAGGAGCTTGATAAACTAATCAGTAATTACACATCCAGAGATTCATTCAAAACAAAGGTGAGATGGCTGAATGGAATACATCCTGTAAACTCTCTGCCCGATGAAAAGCATCACGGCAGAGTGCCCACTCGAGGGGACCCTCTGAGCTCGCACTGACGGCGAGCAGCTTTCATTTACCAACATTAAGCACCGTGTTTCCTGTGACCCCCGGCTCATTCAGGGCTCGCACACATTGTGTAAACACGACAGATGTTGTGATGTTCGTCCTTCCTGCTTTTGTATGCAGCTCGTCTGCTGTCAACCTGAGAGCTCCGTCAGATGGACGACGGTCTGTTTTCATTTTAGTCTTTGTAAAACTCGCCCGTACGACGAGGAAGCAGGAGAGGCTCTCGCTCAAAGTGGCCTTGAAAATCTCGAATTTTGCCTCTAAAGAAAGTAGATCCACTCGCAGGATCAAAGGCTGCTCTAAATGTAACTAACTCAGGTGTACTGTTTCCCTCTTCTACAGTTCCCTTCCACTTATCATTCATCTTAATCACATCATTTCCACCTTTTTTCTGCCGTCTTCATTCTTTTTATCCTCCTCGTCCTGTACTCAGTCGCTTTCTGCTGTGATCCAAACTCCTCCTCTCAGTCTTTGCTTCCAAACTTTGCAATCTGCTCATGATGGTCCCTCATCTTGGACACTTCGGCATCCTCTGTCCAAAACTTTACTTATCGTCAGAAGTTGACTAATGGCAGAGTATCGTTACAAATGGAGCTCTTATGTTATTACAGGAGCTACACGACCACTTTGAAGAGGGAGACTAGAAAAGGGAAGGCTGATAATGCAACAAAAAGATTCTCTTCTTACATCCCTCTATTCTTTGAAGGAAGAATGTGCAACATTTTACACATTGATACAGCAGAAATAAAGTATATCATCTGTAAATGTCTCTCTGAGTCATGACTGTCGACAATGAGTGAGAAGCTCGAGTCCCGATGTGTTGTAATCAGAGCTGTGTTTACATCATGTTCACATGGACGAGACGGCCTTGTGTATTTCTGTTTTAGTGAATGAGTAGAGAAAAGAAGAATAACATACTCACTGCTTATTTTGATGTCATGTAAGTGTCTTTAGATCAGAGTCTTTTCATGTCAATTTATGAAGCTATGAGTTTACCGAAATGTGCTAACATTAGCATGCTAACACAACAATGCAGGCCACAGGCGATTGCAGCTCAGGCTTGTGCTTAATGCTGCTTAATTATGGTGCGTTTCAATTCAGAACTCCTTCATGTGAACGCGAGTGGAGAGGGGTTGGAGGTGTGTCGCTGGAGGAGAGCGGAGGCTTCAGAATAGAGGAGGTGTCGCCAAACATCAGTTTGTTTTGGTTTCATGCTAGTGCTCAAGGGCGACATCTACCTGATCAAAAAGTCACACATACTTCCTTTAAATCCCTTTGTAAAAAAACAAAACACCTATGCATTGCAAATCCTCCACTAATATTCAGAGGAAATTGAGAAAGGCATGACTTCAATCTTCAGCCCGATACTTGAAGCTGAAAAGCTTCACAGACATAATTTCTATGCAAATGTAGAAATCGACTTCTCAGTCGTAATCTGAGATAAGATCAACTTTGTTGCTCCAGAGGGAAATTTGCCTTGGACTCCACAATGCTCGGATGCAGTAACAAAATATCAAACTACAATCTGTGTGAAATCTGAAGCCAGCACAAGCATCTGGTTACCTTCTCACAAAAGACTGAAAACCAGACGTAGCTGCAGCTAGCTAGTAGCTTCACATATTAACACGATGAGTCTCAACTTCATAAATGGAAATCAGAAATGTGAGAGTTCCTGCTTTAAGCCACAATAACGTCATGTAAAAAATCCACTGGCACTGGTGTATAGATTCTACATCTTCTACAATGGTCAGCTTCTGTCGGTATTCAATGGACAAATATTATGGGAATCACATTTCATTTTTTAAAATCTGAATTTCACTTCTATGAAGAAACCGGTTTTATAAAATGAATGGTGGTGGATTATTATCATTTTGATCGACGGGTTTCCTGCTTTTCTGTCGGCTCAAGAACGAGAGAGGTAACTAAATATAAATATATGCAAGCAGCAGCTTGGAGAAGCATCATTTCTTCTTTATCTGTGAGCAAACAAGCATAAATGTTTTCCTCTTCACAAAACTACACATCTAAATGAAACATCCTGATCTTTACAAATTAACGGCAGCTTCAGTAAGAATTGAAAAATCACAACACAGAAGCCTCAAGATGAAAGTGAAATTGGGTTTAAGGATCATGCTGGTTGAACTAATGCTATAATTCAGAGATGAAAGCGTGGTGCGTGTCCTGTGATCCCACTCTGTGTGTCTCTTTCTGCCTCTCTGTTCTCACACAGCAGCAGGTGGTGAGGAGCTGTGCTCATTGTGCTGCAGCCGAGGAGTGTTAGTGTGAGTGTAAGATAAGAGATCCTCACAGAGCACGCACACACACACACACACACACACACACACACACACACACACACACACACACACACACACACACACACACACACACAGACACACACACACAGACACACACACACACACAGACACACACACACACACACACACACACACACACACACACACACACACACACACACACACACACTTCAGCACATAAGAAAATCGTGGTGACAATGCTAACATGTAATTAAAATTCAACCACTGACACACTAATT